AGGAGTGGCTGGTGGGTTTGAACCACCAGCCTTCTGGTTAGCAGTCAAGTGCCTTAGCCACTATGCTACCAGAGCTCCCAATAATTCACTTAAGTTTAAAAAAAAAACAATTTAACAATTATATATTTTTATTTCCAGAAGTTCTATTTGTTATTTTTTATTTGTTTTAAAAATTTACCTGATCATTTTTTAGTGTCTTTTGCTTGCTCATTTTTGTGATTCCATCTTTTTCCCTTTAGATATTACATACATAATTATTTTATGGGAGCTCTGGTGGCCTAGTGACTAAAGCATTTGACTGCTAACCAGGAGGCTGGTGGTTCAAACCCACCTACCACTCCTCGGAAGGAAGACTGGGCAGTCTACTTCTGTAGAGATATTGCCAGGAAACGCAAGGAGGGGTCACTATGAGTCAGAATCAACATGATAGCAGTGAGTCTTTTAGTTTTAATTATTTCATACTCTTGAACTGATCTTTGTAAAAGCTGAAGGCTTTTTCATTCTAAATTTCTCAGTAGTACAGTATTTCTCCAACTTTTTGCGCCACCTGAAGGGTCTTGTTAAAATGTCAATTCTGAGACAGTAGCTCTGCAGTCAGCCCTGGAGTTCTGCATCTCTAGCTCCCAGGGATGCTGATGTTGTTGCTCTGTCCACCTCTCTTTATGTAGAAGGGTGAGGTACACTAGACACACAATCATATGCAGTGAACCTGGATGGAAAGAACACATGTGTAGATTAAGTGATTTTGGTGGTATCTTGGTTTTGGAGTTAGGTGGTGGGTTCTAATATGATTCCATTGTTACAAGATAAATGTAGTAAGTTTTTAAGTCATTATACTTAGGAATAGATATCTAAGTTCTCGGTAACAGGGTCTCAATTTTGAAGTAGGGGTCTCACTCTGCCATGCTTTGGGAGTCCTTAGTCAGTTGCAGCAGTACATTGACAGGGAACTTCCAGAAATTCAAGCCAGGTTCAGAAGAGGATATGGAACAAGGAATATCATTGCTAATGTCAGATGGATCTCAGCCAAAAGCAAAGAATATCAGAAAGATGTTTACCTGTGTTTTATTGACTATGCAAAGGCATTCAACTGTGTGGATCACAACAAATTATGAATAACATTGTGAAGAATGGTAATTCCAGAACACTTAATTGTGCTCATAAGGAACCTGTACATAGACCAGGAGACAGTTGTTCAAATAGAACAAGGTGATACTGCACAGTTTAAAATCAGGAAGATGTGTGTCAGGGTTGTAACCTTTCATCATACTTATTCAGTCTGTATGCTATGCAATTGATCCAAGAAGGCAGACTATATGAAGAAGAACCCGGCATCAGGATGGGAGGAAAACTCATTCACAACCTGTGATATGCAGATGACACAACCTTGCTTGATGAAAGGTCTTGAAGCATTTACTGATGAAGATCAAAGACTACAGTCTTCAGTATGGATTACACCTCAACATAAAACAAAAATCCTCACAACTAGACCAATAAGCAACATCACAATAAATGGAGAAAAGATTGAAGTTGCCAAGGAGTTCATTGTTCTGGGATCCACAATCAACACCTATGGAAGCAGAAGCCAAGAAATCAAATGGCATATTGCATTGCACCTATCTGCTGCAAATGAACTCTTTAAAGTATTTAAGAGCAAAAGTGTCAATTTAAAGACTGAGGTGCACCTGACCCAAGCCATTGTCTTTTCGATAGCCTCAAAAGCATGTGAGAGCTGGGCATTGACTAAAGAAGGCCTCAGAGTTAATGCATTTGAATTGTGGAGTTAGTGAAGAATACTGAATGTACCATGGACTGCTAGAAGAAGGAACAAATATGTCTTAGACAAGTACAGCTGGGGAATTCTCCTTAGAAGTGAGAATGGCCAGACTTCGTGACGTGACTTGGTCATGTTGTCATAAGGGACCAGTCCCTGGAGAGAGATACTTGGTAAAGAGGATCAGTGAAAAAGGGGAAGACTCTGAATGAGATGGATCAACAATCAAGCATGGCGACAACTGTGAGGATGGTGCGGGACCAGGCAATGTTTTGCTCTGTTGTACATAGGATCACTCTGGGTCAAAACCAACTAGACGGCACCTACCAACAGTCATCTTTATCAAAAGAAGAGTTATAGCCCCTTTCTCTTGATTGTTCCATTGTGGCATTATTAGGGTTCATGTCAGTCTTTTTAAAAAATAAATAATTATAGAAAATGTCTAAAGCAAAAGACTCAGTGAAGTAACATACACAATTATTCATCACATTTATTTATAGAACTGTAGAGACCCTCCTCTCATCTTAATTTATCTTACTAACCTCACATACTCCTTCATTCATTTTTCAAAACATATTTATTGAACATCTACAACATGCTGGGCACTGTGCTATTCATTGGCAATACAAAGATGAGCAAGAATGGCATTTTCCCTGCCCATACTAAGTATGCACTCTGGTGGGACTGACTCAAGATCAGCAACAGCAAGTTGCAGCACATTTAGGGAGAAAGCAATTAGTTCCAATTCACTCCAAAATATACATCTCAGATTGGAAGTAACATTGGCTTCTTTGCTTGATGTTATAATCATGATTTCCCCTAGATTTATCCTGAGTTTTTTTGTTTGTTTGTTTGTTTTTAATTATTAGCTCTCAGTTGTAATAATGCATGAATCTGACCAAATACTGTCCTCCTTAATTTAAGTATTTCTCAGGGAAAAAAAAAAAAAAAATGACCCTTGAGGAATGATCTTGCCAATTCAAGTGTTCTGTAGATGAAGTCTTAGGACTTAATAAATTTATCAGGATAGTTTGTAGATGCATGGGGTATAAAGATTTCAGAAGATTGTTACACCATTCTAGATCCCTAGGGGTATAAAGAGAGTAGCATTTCAGCAACAGAGAACTACATTAGCAGCAGGGCAGGGGTGAGAATGGTGAAGAAAAAGCCTTCAACCAGGGAGACCAGAGATGATAATATTGTTTCCTGAACTTGGTGTGTCCAGCTGAGTCTTGCCTAAAGCCAAACTGCCTTTCCAAAATGCTGAATAAGAAAAAGAAGACCAGACTTGAATAGGGTAATTCATTTCTAAAACTTGAACTTTTTCCACAAGCAAAAAGTTTATATATATATAGTTATTTGCATGCAAATTTACAAAGTAGATTCCTTTTACATGCTATAGTTCATACACATTTTTTTTCATGGCACTGATTACAATTCCCACAATGGAATAGCTCTCCTCTCACCCCCTCATGGTTACTCCTTCCCTATGTCCTTCTTACCTGTCTATCTAGCTTTCCCTTTATACAAATGCTGGCCTTCTGATCTCTCATGGTTGACTGTTCTAAGGAGTGCATCTCCCTAGGGTAGGTGCTCAGCTCATAGGACTTTCTATTGTTTGGCTGAGAGCTAACACAACAGGACTGAGTCAAGTCTAGACCTGAGTGGTAACCCTAGGGTTTTACAGGTCTCTATCTGACCAGTAATTCTGGATATTTTTATGTTTTTGAAATTTGTTCCACATTTCACCTCCCGCTCTATCCAGGATCTCCAATTTTGATCCCTTTCTGAGTGATTGGTGTTGGTAGCCAGGCACCATCTAGTTCTTCTGGTCTCAAGGTTGTACAGGATGAGGTTCCCATGGTCCATTAGTCCCTTGGATTGTTTCCATTTGTCTTTGATTTTCTTCACTCTTCTTAAGCAGAAGTTTTTGAAGCTCAAGATTAGGCTCTATGTTTGTGATTTTCTGCTTCTTCATCTTGCCATATTGAGTCATTAGAAGGTATGGCTCTCAAACACTCGCTGTTGTTATTTCTTAAGAAAAGAGTTTTGGGGTTTATAACTCAGGCTTTACGTCTGTAGAACAACAGTTCTCAATTTTGGCTACAAATTGAACCCTAAGGAGATTTGAAAACACTGATGCCCAGGTTTGACCATCAGACATTCTGGTTTGATTGGCCTTTGGGTGGCCAGGGCACAGGAATTTTAAAAACTCCACAAGTGAGTCCAACATAGAGCAAAATACAAGAACCACTGCTGTGAACTACTTAACATTCTTTTTGTCTGAGCTCCACATTTTACACATGAGGGATATGATGCCCAAAGAGGTTACATGCTTTTTTGTTTTTGTTTTTAAATAGCTTTTACATTTTACAATACTGTCTAGAGCCCAAGCCAAAGTCAGAACCAGTATCCCCCGGTGGAGGATTCTTTTCCCTGTGCCCTGCTGGGGTTCATCATTGCTGACTTCTAGCCACTTCCAAGGCTTGGACATCGAACTCCTTTGGCCAGTGTTGCTTGTTTCTTAGCCCAGGAGAATGTTAGTCTTCTTTGCTCAGTCCATCAAGGGCAGAAAATGCAGAAACTAAAATATCTTGCCACTCCTCGGAAGGAAGGTTGGGCAATCCTACTTCCATAGTGATACTGCCTTGGAAACCCAAGGAGGGGTCGCTATGAGTCGGGGCCGACTCGATGGCAAACAACAACAACAACAACAACAAAATATCTTGCAGCTGGGAAAGAGTGGGATCATATGAGTGAAGGGAGGCAAGAAAAAATTCAGGGCACAACCAGAAGACATTTCAGAGAAATATCACACCAAGCAATAGTGCCATTAGTCAAGGAGAACCTGACTGTAGCAGTGGAATAAGCCAAATAAGTGAACTTCCAAATGAGCTGTGAGTAGAGGACATCCTGATGAAAGGTTGGCAAGGTAAAAACGTTGTTAAAATGAAAGAATTGGGGTTGAAGTTAGGCCACATATTTTGGCCAATTTTCTTCAAAACATCTCACACCTGCTCATGACTGGCTTTTTGTTCATGATTAGAGACGTCCACAGTGATTTCAAGAGCGTTTTTGTAATCAGGAGACTTGTCTGTGCTAAGTGGATCTCAGTGTAAGTCCATGGCCTATTGTGTGGCTCTGGCCATAAATTCAGGCACAGGATATCAATGGAGTTTCTAGACATTGCCTTGAAAAGATGAAAAAATTAGCAAGGGAACAATAGTGTCTGTCCAAGCTTTTCCTCAGCTTTTGTGGTAAGAGAAGAGATGGGGAAGAAAGCATGTTCCTTTGAATTCTCTTCCAGAATAAGTTAACGGATGTTATTTTTAGAAACGGATTCATGATCTTATAAAGTAACCAGATGTGTATACTGTTATACTTCCCAGGACTTTTTCATAGATCAACCTAAGTAAGTGGTCTCCAAGAAGGGATACACAGAGCTTCCCAGGGAGCCTGTTAGCATTTTATAAAACATATTTTGAGAAATGCTGGTCAAGAAGAACCTTTTGATATTCCATCTTGTTAGAAGGCAGGTAAATTTAACAAAGTTCTCTCCGGAGTGGATTCCCTGGGCGGTGCAAATGGTTAAGGGGCTCAGCCGCTCACCAAAGGGTTGATTTAAATTCACCCAGATGCATCTCAGAAAAAAAAAAAAAAGGCCTGGCGATCTATTTCTGAAAAACATCAGCTACTGAAAACTGTATGGAACACAGTTCTACCCTGACACATATGGGGTTGCCATGAGTGGGAACTGATTTGACTGCAACTGCTTTTATTTTTATTCCAGGGTTGGCTTGTAGCAATTTTAAGGGCTAGTGAGGGATTCTGATTGTCTGGGGGTGGTCCTCTGAAATTAAACCTATCAAGAGATTATGTAGGGAGGGAGGTTCTCTCAACTTTCCCACCAGCTTTTTCCTCAGACCATATCGTGGGCTCTGTGGGAGGTTCGGCTGATGGCACGGAGTTATTCTGTTAGAGACAGTGTACATTTGTACCCTGTCTTTTCCAGTCACTGTAACTCTTCCTTGAAACACAAGAAAGAAATCATTCTGCAATGTTCACCATACTTTATTGACATTTTTTGTTAAATATCAAAGTTATTTGGAAGAGTTTAACAAATGCGAGAAATATTTCCAGCTACGACTCATCTTTTTCTTGATTTTCAAAAATCTAGATCAGAAGTTAGCAAACTTTTTCTATGAATGCCAGATAGCAAATATTTTAGACTTTGCAGGCCATATGATCTCAGTCACAACTACTCTCTGCTATTATAATGTGAAAGCAGCCGTAGATAATATGTAAACAAATATGTGACTGCTCCAATAAAATTTTATTTACAGACTTATGAACAAGTCTCCTCTCAGACTAGTTTCCCTGTCCTTTTCTTTTATTTTTAATTTCTCATTTACAAAGTCCTGTTTTTCCCTAGCTTTTAACTGTTAAAAACTCTGTAATAGTTTTCCTTTGAGTTTGTGTGTTCTTATCCCTGTAGCCCTGAAAGGTCACTGAATTCTGTATGAATGCATGGCATGATACAACTAATTTTAAGAGCCTTCTGTAATTACAGTTTGCATTAACTATACTTGTCAACATTTTTTTGGTGGTGTTGTTTCATTTACAAAAGCAAGCAAGAGTTGGCCCAAGGGCCATAGTTTCCTGAACCCGCATCTTAGATGAGGATATTCAGTGAGAAGAATCATTGTATGGTGAGCACGTGGCCTATTGCTCCCAATTCCTGGTGAATTTTAAAGGGCAAGCGTGGAATGAAGGAAAGAAGTATTTGGATGAAAAGTTTCAGGATTAGAAAGTTCAGATCCAGTCACAGTAGAAAACAAAGATTCTTTTTTCCAATCAATATTTTGAATCAAAAGTTGAAACTCTTCTTGTAAAACAATACTCTATCTTTTCATCCTTCTACCCAAAGGTTCTGGTTCTTTGTTGACAGAAACCTGATTTTTCCTTGATTTTAAGCCTTCAGTAAAAGGTGCTATGTAAGTTCAAGGACGAATCAAGACAATATTATGGTAAGGACTCACAGGTCTGAAGGAGGACAAGGATTGAGATAGAGAGAACAGAGGTCAAGATTCCACACGAATAATGAAAAAGTACTCATTTTGTGTTTTTAATCTAGGGCTGCTGCTTCTACAAATATAAACTAAAATAAGCACATCAGTGCCCATTGTGACTATAAACTAAAATGAACACATCAAACCTTTATCATTATCCTCATAGCATTCCAAGATTGCACATGGTATTTTAACAATTTGGTAAATTCTCCAGACGTGTGTTCAGATATCTTTAGGTTCTAACTTAATAGAATGTTTAAACAGAATGTCATCCAAAAGAACACTTATTCCTCCATCATCAGCCTCATGCCAAATTGCTGAAATTAGCAGATATGACCTCAGTCGCACTCATTTGTTTTAGTGTAATTGAAAAATGCGATTGCAGCTAACTTGGACAAGTTCCATACTGAGAACTAGCGCTGATGCCTCAACAACAGCTGAGCAATGAGACGTTGGTGAAAATTAGAGCAGATGTGTAAAAGCACATGTCCTGTCATTCCATGTGAAGCTAAACACACTGTCATCACTCAGATGTGAAATTGATAATAATACGAGTATCTCTTGCTCAACAGAAGTTGAACTAAGCCGCAAATCACGCACCCATTCTTTGGAACTTTTATTCAGTTTCCCCACAATCTGGTTTGGGGACCATGGTGCTTCCTGCCAGGGGCATAGCGAGGGTAATGAGCACCCAGGGGGAGTCTTCAAATTGCTCCCCTCCCCCCAATTTCAAGCTGGATAGACACTGATAGCTACCTTCCTCCCACACGTCTGGCTGCCTCAGTCCGGCGCCGTTTATATTTGTGACACCTCATCTCCTATCATTCCGCGCCTGGTCTGGGGCCCCCTTGGACTTGGCCCAGCAGCAAGTATTCCCCTTTGTCCCTTCCTCGCTATGTCTCTGCTTCTCACAGGATGTCTGATTCTCTATATCATTTTTTCTGTTGTCAAACTCTTGTAACTAGCTAGTCTCTGACAGTGAACATTTGGGCAGGGGAAAAAAAAAAAGTCCCACTTTAATGTGCTAAGAACCTACCAAGACACTAATCGTTATGAATTGAGAAATCAACACAATTAATGTGCTAATTAGCATCACACATCAGCTGATCAGAAGTAAAGCACCCCAGCTTGGAGTACTGAGAAAGAATGACATTAGGGAAGATTATAGGATTAAGCAGCCTATTATTTCTCAGGGGTAAATGTTTGAACAGCTTGGAGGATATGCTCCGCGTTTGGTTTTTACCTCTGCCTGTTGAAAGCTTGCGCACCTTTCTTTGTCTGTTTACAAACAGGCGTTCTGATTTCTGATACTAAAAGGATTTCCATACAGCAATTTAGCTTCTCTTTAGTAATATAGCACTGAAGGGGAGCTAAGCAAGGATCCCCTTTAAATTTGTGAGTAACCAAAGCTGTGGGAAGGAAATGTGACTTCCCACAGAAGTGTCCCATAGGTGCCAACCCAAGTTTTCCCTAAAGGAATTGTAGAGTCTTAGGTTGAAATTCAGTCTCAGAACCAAAATGTTTTCTAAAAGGCCCCACAGAGCAAACATAGCAGCCACAGCACATTACCTTGCCAGAGTGGCATACTACCCCCCTCGGACTTAGATCACTTTCTTCTCTGAACATGATGTAGAGGGAGCCTCTCTCTAGACATTACTAGTAACTGGGCTTTCACCTATTTATGCAGCAAGTCTTTATGGAATGTGCCAAGAGTGAGTCCAGTGGGGAGGATGTGAGCTGTCATATTGTACATTTATGCTTCAGAGTTTCCAGACTGGATATTTTTTCACAACTCATTCATGACAACCTTTATATTTGACTGCATTGTTCTCCCTTGTGATATATACCAAAAAACACCAAACCAAATCCACTGCCACTGAGTCCATTTCAGCTCATAGCAACTGATAGGACAGAGTAGAACTGCCTCATAGGGTTTCTAAGTCTGTAAATCTTTAAGGAAGCCGGCTGCCACAACTTTTTTCTGCAGAGTGGCTGGTGGTTTAGAACTGCTGACCCCATC